TCTGCCATGAACCACAGTCTCGTCAGCGTATCGCAAAGAGTGCAGGCACGAGATTCTGACATTTCCCATCCCCGTCCACCATTTTTCCAACTATAATCAGCCCAAAATGCCGACCACTGGACTCAATGAACGAGCTCTGGCAGCTGCAATACAGCAGAGGTCTGCAACTCGAGTCCCAAATCTCCAGCGCGCACCGCTCTCTGAACCAGCGCTGCAACCTTCGACAACCCCAGATTTCCCTTCAATTGTGGTCAACAGCCGCAAACCGCATTCTGTTTCTACGATAGCACAGCGCCGCTCGGTACTTAAGTGGATGGTGGACGAAGTGGACAAACATGGAGAGAAGAAGCTCGCGCGTAAGGCCATTCGCAAATTTTCCCATCTATTTACGGGCTCTTACAAAGCCAATCATGCTAAAGCCGTCCACTTGTGGAAGAAAAGAGAGAAGTTGGTGGAACTGTCATAGTCGGGAAGGCGCCTTGGGAATTTATCAGCCGTTACACACTACGGTCTCAAAAGGGCAAACTTTAAAGCATTGTCTGGGAGAGGACGCAAAAAAGCCGCGTGGGTCGTAGCTTTATACTCTGCACTTCGGGCAGAATTTGATCGATTGCACGCGCTGAATGTTAAACTAAGCCCTTCTTTCCTGGCTTGTGCGGCAAAATATTTGATACACAATGCAGACAGTGACTCCTTGTTTGCATCTTCAAATTTAATTGACGGTAAACCCGTTGTCGACAAGATAACGATTCGTTGGGTGCAGACATTTATGGATGTGCAAGGACTTGTGATTCTTCGTCAGGCGGGCAGTCTTGCCGTTAGCCCCGAAAAGCAACTGTTTATTGAAAAAACAGTTGCCTTCCACCTGGGGACATTGAAGAGAGGTTTCGAATCCGGCGATCTAAATGAAGGTCTAGTAGAGAATGCCGACGAGACGCACTTTGTATTTAACATGGACAATGGCAGGACAGTTGGCTTTCGTGGCGATGAGAAAGTTGAATATTCGGATGTCGTCTCTGGCGACGAGGGTATTACCATGATGGTTCGAATCTCAAGTGGGGTGCAGGCAAGAATCGAGCCACCTATGCTGGTGTTTCAAAATCCAAACTCCTCGTACCCTATTAGAGGTGTTGAAGACAACGTACCTGGCGTCTGCTATCGGTCTGGAAGGAAGGGGTGGATGGACAACAGAGTGTTTCAAGCGTGGCTGTCGGAACCGAGGGCGATTAAGAAGGATAATTTCGGCAGAAAGCGAATTTTATATGTGGACAACTGTTCCGGTCATAATGAGACGAACGCAGTTTTAAGGCTCTTGGTCGAAATAAATACGGAGTTACGCAAGTTGCCTGCAAATTCGACTGACTTGGTGCAGCCTGCCGATTCGTTTGTTATCTCTAAAATTAAGGATGCATGGAGAAAGCGGTGGGACGAATATAAGGTTGGTTTGATGTCAAGGGGCGAGTGGATGGGGAGCAAAGAGGGTGCGAGCGGAAAGCTCAAAAACCCCGGGAAGCGGTTTTTCTTGAAGTTGGCATCAGATGCGGTTCGGGACGTCAATGCGCAGAGAGACAAGAATGGATTGTCATACGCGCGTAAGGCAATGATACGAACTGGAATGGCGATGAATGTCAACGGCGTCTGGGAAGAGAAACAGCTGTTTTCGAACCTACAGGCCATTATCGCAAAGCACCGCAATCACTTCAATGGTCAGCCAATCGAGTAGAGACAATAAATTACATTGGGCTGTAATCCTATCTCGCCTAATATTGAACTGAAAAATTAATCTGGTCCTGCCTATTTATGAACAACCCCCTAAATAATATAGGTTCAAAAATACCCTGGACCAGATTATTTACGGTGAAGCCTTAAAAAAATCAGGTTCGTTAATAATCTGGTCCAAATTAAATACAGTGATCAGGTGTAGTGGTAGGAAGGGCGTTCAAAGTGGGGGTTGTTGGGTGGGGAAAGAGCAACAAGCGGATGGAAAATAAGAATGTTTCATGATAGACATTTCGGAGACGCGGACACAAGGTGTGCAGAGAGCGGAGGAGAGATATGCGTATTTTAGGATACATATCATGGAGAAGTTTGTGTGCCGCGGGGCCGTGCGTAATATACAGTAAGTGATGTTTAAAGGGTTGGGCAAGTTTGAAAGTTTGTTCTCTTGCTCTCCCGATGACCGGTTAAGTTTAACGGGCGATGTGGACATGCTCAACCTGTATGTGTCATGAGTGCCGAGGCAGACGAGTGTACAAAGGAGGTAGTGAGGGATACGAGACTACAAAATTGAGTTCGTAAGCAAGGCACAGTGCGGAAATGAGGGCAGGTTTCCCATTTTTTTTTTTTTTTTGTGAGAGATAAATCAACCACTGGGGAAAAGGGGAAGCGTCGTGGGCAGGACAGAGGAAGGAGGGGCACCCCGTGTTGAGCCAAGGCGATGTCAAGACTCTTGACAGGGTTCATTGTAAGCTTTTGTCGTTCGTGCCTGAAGAGATGACGAGGTGCAGTACAGCACAGTTCAGTACAGCATGTACAGTGCTACAGTACAGTACCGCGGGTACTGTAACCG